ACGGGAAGTTAATTGCATCTGGGAGCTTCGATAAAACAATCATGATATGGAATTCGAGCACCGGACCAATTTTTGAGTATTAGGAGTACTGTTCCCATCTTCGAATCCCATATTCGTATGCCTTCGTCACCTCCAGATGCAAACTTTGACCCATCCGGAGAGAATGAGATTGATTGGACCCAATCTAAATGACCTTGGAGCGTGGCGAGTGCTGCACCAGTACTAGAATCCCATATCCGAACTGTTTTATCATAACCCCCAGACACTATCTTCGTCTCGTCTGGCGAAAAGACAGCTGAGGTGATCCAATCTGAATGATCATCGAGCCCTGTGAGACTGGCTTCACTCGTCAAATCCCATATTCTCACAGTCCGATCCTGGCTCCCGGATACAACCTTTGATTGGTCGGGTGAGAGCGCGAATGAGGTGACAGCACGTGAGTGACCATCAAGAATTGAGAGAATTCTACCGGTACTTGAGTCCCAGATACGCACATCGTTATCATGTCCCCCAGATACAATCTTTGCCCCATCCAATGAGAATGCAACGGACAAGACTGCGTACAAATGGCCTTTGAGTTTGGCAATTGTCTTTCCTGTGATTGAATCCCATATCCTCACAGTCCGGTCATCACTTCCCGAAATAATCTTCATTCCATCAGGGGAGAATGCTACTGAGTTGACCCAATAAGTGTGACCCTTAAGAGTGTTGAGTTCTACGCCACTCTTCGAGTCCCAGATACGTAGAGCGTTATCATGACCTCCAGAAACAACCTTCGTTTGATCAGGAGAAAATGCAGCGGATTTAACTCTCGCCTGATGGCCCGTGAACGTGGTAATCCTTCCAGAGCCCCATACCCGGGCGGTCTTATCGCTACTCGCCGATACGATATAGAATCCATCAGGAGATATTTCTATCGAGTTGACTACATCTGAATGACCCGTGAGAATCGATAGTACTATACCAGTCTTTGAATCCCATATTTTCAGTGCTCCATTATGACTCCCAGATACAATTTTTGATCCATCGGGTGTGAATGCAACCGATGAAATCAGACTAGAGCTATCATTGAATGTAGAAAGGGCCGTGCCAGTCGTCACGTCCCATATTCGCATTGTTGTATCGTCACTTGCAGAGATAATTTTTGACCCATCCGGCGAGAATGAAACCGAGCGGACATCGTCAGAGTGTCCTCGCAGTATCGATAAACAAGGGTTCCACTGTAATTTGCAATGGATAATTACCTTTCCGGAATTCCGCCCTTCATGGGCATAGATATCGAGCAGAAGACAGTGCGGAGTAAATGGCAATGCTGAAGCATAAATATTTCCAGCACATTGACTAATCAGTTTTTTAAACTGTTCAATGAATTTATCCATATTTTCGAGCAGTCCCTTCGTATTCGAATGCTCACTCGCACCTTTATGCTGAAGAAACATGTCACTATGGCGTCAAGTATGCTCAATGGATTACTCACAGATAGCCACTTTCGAACCAATCTTATGCACCCCAGTGCAATATCAATCTGTCCGTACAGAATAAGGACTTCAAGCCAAGCGAGGAGCTTAGTTGTGCAGAACGAGTGCAATAGTTCCAGAATTTCATCTGTAGGATCGACCGAAGAAACGTGAAATCCCCAATAGAAGCAGGAATAGCGTAGATGGGATGGTATATGAGACGCCAATCGCCGTGGTAGGTCTAATATTTCCTGGTTCAGTGTGAGAGGCTCCTCCAACTTGCATATATTTCTTTCCAGACCCTTTAACATGCATCTAAGTGCACAACATGCGACATCTGTATGATGTCTCGCTTTGTTGATGAAGTATTTCCTGTCGGTGCAACGTCGTTCGTCCGTCAGATAGTCAGGAAATGACGGGTGTATCAACCGAATATACTCATCCTCTGTATCAGGAATGATAATAACCGAATATAGACGAGAAATAACCTTCCTTACAGAGCTACTTGAAATATTCAGTAGCATCCGTAGTCCTCGTATTGTTAAGGGCTCCCTAAGGTGCACTATCGTTCCCATAACATTTTGAAAATGCTGAAGTAGATCGTTGTCCCCGTTCTTATCGAAAGCAAAATCAAGAACTTGCTTGTACAATGGATCGATTTGACCACGTGAATGAACATTCGTCAAAATGAGGCTCAACTTGTCCTCCGGATCCTCTTCTGGATTGTCAATGAACTTGATAGCTGTTGCTGCAAAAATGAAGAGGTCTCCTGCTAGATCTCCGAGTGCTGCCCTATTTGTTTCTGGCGGCCAACCTGTCGGGAGATGTGGTCGAACATCGACCATGAGCTTGAAATGGTGATTGAGGAACACCATTATGTCACCCTTAACGATCGAACCTTCTATTTCATGTAGTTGAAGCGGCTGTATTCGACTCTTGACGTTAGAATGAGCAAGAGCTTGACGGATTTTGGCTTCAGGTCGTCCTGTAACGAAGAGCTTGATCGAGAACGGGAGATCGGCCAGTTGTGGACTTGAAAATAACGCAACTATCTCTTCTGGTTTTCCACTACACTCATCCAAGGCGTCCATGACAATCACTATGAGCGTTCTCTTTTTCGTTGTGTTTTGGAGTGGCTCCAAAATGAGCCTTTGAAACTGATTTTCTAGATCGAGGTCTGCTGCATTTGGATCCACCTGTAGAGTGGCAGAAACTCCTGAGTGGAATCCTTCGTCATATTGCGCAAGTTGATAGGCGATATTTGGAATGATTAAATAGTCCCTACTGAGCTTCTCTTCATCTCGTGAGCAAAAGAACGATGCTCCTAAATAGTCTTGCGGAGTTTTCCCATCGAGGGATTGAGCAAATGTTTTTGCGATTGTCGATTTTCCGGTTCCTGCCATCCCACTGAGCCAGAAGATTGGAGGCTTTTTGCGGTCATGAACCCAATCATCTATCATTCTAAGAAGCTCCACACGCGTATTCGGTAGACATGTTGAGATTTGCTTGTTCTCGCGCTGATCTTTGTATCGAGCGGGAACATATGGCAAGCTCTCTGGCGTTCCGTCACGAACTGGGCATATTTCAGTAACCTCCGTAGTGAACGAAATGAACATACCGTTCTGATTTAATGTCCTATCTATATCCTGAACAACGATTCATAGTTAGAACATCGACATGAGCAGAGCTCTCTACACTCGCCTTGAGTTTTCTAGCGATATTCTCCATTCCGACTCCTATCGACCTTGCCTCATGCTCGACATGATTGATCACTCTATCTATCTGGATTATTCCCATAACCTATATGTTGTAAATTTGTAGGAATTGAGTTAACTGGGATAGTTGCCCGTCAATACACTAACCAGGAAACTGTTTAATGCCTCTGCCATTCGGTCAACTAGAAAAGAAATTTGTTCATGGATGTCTTCGTGAAGGAGGAATCGGTGGAAGGCGTTGTGAGATAAAAGCTCTAGCCCCTCGCTTGAGATAGAGTATAGCTCTCTGCACCGTAGTATGCGGTTCATAATAGCTCCGTTTAACACGAATATGTATCATACCTCCCAAGCTTCTCGATTCTGGTTTCCAAATCGTAGGGAATTCGAGTTCCATTCTCCGTTTGAGAGCAAAGCGGCTTGATGATGTACTCAATTAACCGATCAATTTGCGCTCCCAGCCTACGCAGTTGCTCCTGGTTTGCATTAGTTTCCTATTCGGGTCATATTTTGAGGGTTTTCCATATTGGCCAGAAAATAGTACTCACGTCGATTGCTTTCAAGAGAGAGAGCAAACCAGTGCCTGCAGCTTTGAGTCCTGGAATTGGAGCTTTTTCAAGCGCCTCGACAGATACCCTCAATGAGATCTTCAAAACGCTATAAATCTCCGGAGCTATGGCTTTGACTGTACCTAGTCCAATCTTCTGCTTCACATGGGTAAGACTGAGCTTTTTTGCGTGTCCTTTAGGTTTATATGCTTCTGAGGTGGGTGAAATTGACATATTGGTGACTACCGATGTTGCCACAGTGGGCAAGTGGAGGCAACTGGCGTAACCATTTACCACATCACCGACTGAGCCCTGGCTAAAATTTATCAAAAATTACCTCCTAAAAGCGAAGGCTAATTAGAGGAATTAGACGCCCCATAAATGATCCTCAAACCGCCTCCAAGGCAGTATGGGTGACATTACACAAGTCTATTGCCAGCACTATGAAGAAGATTAATTCTGTCAACATCCAGTAGCTAGAAAAGCTGAGATTGTCTACTTGACCGCCAGTGCCATATCTCGGCCCCTTCCATCTATTCACTAGCTGCGTTGACCCGTCTTCGGTTCATCCAACACTGCCCTTACTCTACCTCGGTCAATGTCAACTGGACAACCCAAGGTATCGGCCTTTCTAACACAGAATGTCCAGTTATACACAGCAATCTACCTATTTTGGATAGCTGGAAGCCTATGAGTCAGCGCTCAGGACAGTTAATTCTTGGTTTTTGCCATTCTCCGCCCACGACAGTGGTCCCGCCGTACTCGCTTAGGCCTTATAAGCCTTCTACCCGGAATTTGACAACATTGAACACCAAGGAGATTACTTTGAGTTTCCCATCCCCAACATCTCTAGTGCAAAGTCAGGTGTCTATCTCAAGTCTCCTATAAAATATGAGGTGAGAATATCAATCCGAAAGCTATATAACTTCTAATGTCTCGGTTAGCCTCTTGGTACTTCGAGGTGCCTCAATACGAATTTATGCACATAACCCCACATACTCACACTCTCCCTTTAGACACGGCTGTTGAGTTGTGCATCCAAGAAGACTGTCACCTCGAAAATGTTTCTCGTCTCTTACTCGAGATTAGTTTGAATGGAAAAGTTCAAGATAAGGCCAAGTTATTGTCCCACAAATCGAACCCTGGAGTATGGAAGGCCGACCGGGTCCTAGTTCTGTAAGTATTCTATTTACGGATGGATACAATTAATTGATGAAGTCGTGTTGAGGAATGAAATGGCTGCAGATTTCATGGTACTGGTCTCGATGGAAGTCGAGGACAACGAACCTCAGTTAGTAGGGTTCATGGAATTGAGCGGACTAGAATTATTGGATGCTTTAGGAAGGAACTACGGTACGTCGTACATCCTCCCTCACGGTATTATCTAATCCGGTCCATATGGCAGATGTACCGCTAATCTCGCACGACGATCATCCAACTCTAATCTTCAAAACCCGACCATTGGTCACAGAGAGCATTCAAGAACCAGCCACGAGTACTGCTCCACAAAGCGCTCCATCTCGCGGGAAGGGTACTATCGCGGAGAAGTATAAGGACGCGGCAACAGCGCTACGCAATTTTGAGAGTCAAGGGGGTTTAGGGCTCTTGGAGTATGCAATTAAACAGCTCCAAAATATCGTTAAGACTGCGCCTAAAGACCATCCCGCCTTCGCAGATATCTTGGCCTGTCTGGGAGTTGCCCTCTCAGACCGCTTCAAGCAACTTGGAGACCGAGCGGATATCAACAAGTCAATAGAACAACATCGAGAGGCAGTGGATCTCATACCAGATGGAAACCCTGACAAGTCCATGTACTTGACCAACCTGGGAAACTCTCTGCGAACCCGTTTCGAAAATTTCGGCAACGTGGTTGATTTAAACGAAGCGATAGTCTACCAACAATCTGCTGTCGATCTGACGCCAGACAGCCACGATAACAAGCCTGGTTACCTAGCCAACCTTGGAGGCTCTCTCCATACTCGATTTGGATATTGCGGAAACCCCACAGACCTTCATAATGCGATAACGCACAAGCAAGCGGCTGTCAACCTTACACCAGACGGCCACCCAGACCGACCCATGTATCTAAACAACCTTGGGGACTCCCTTTGGACCCGCTTCCAGCGCTTTGGTAATCTTGCCGACCTGGAAAACGCTGTCAGCTATGGGCAGATGGCAGTAAGCCTGACGCCGGATCGCCATCCTCTCAAGGCCATGTATCACGACAACCTTGGAAACTCACTTCAGGCTCGGTTTGATCGCTTTGGAGATCTTGCCGATATCGACGGTGCAGTCGCGCAAAAGCTAGCAGCCATCGATTTAACTCCACTCCGCCATCCTCTCAGACCGAGTTATCTGAATAACCTTGGAATCTCGCTTATGACCCGTTTTGAGCGCCTTGGTAGCATTTCTGACATCGATAATGCAATCAAGCGACACCAGGAAGCAGTTAACCTTACACTAAATGATCATCCAGAGAAGCCTGGATATCTAAACAACCTAGGAAACTGCTTCCAGGTCCGATTTGAACGTCTGAGAAACGTATTGGACCTCGATAGCGCCATTGCCCAACACCAAGCCGCGATAGAGCTCACGCCAGAGTCACATCCCAGCAAGTCTACACGAATGAGTAACCTAGGAGGCTCCTTTCTACTCCGTTTCCAAGCCCTTGGGGATTCCTTCGACCTGGACAGGGCCATTGCACACACACAAGCGGCAGTCAACTGTATGCCAGAGGGTCACCCTGACAAAGCTGGCTGTTTGAACAGTCTCGGAAACTGCCTTCTTAATCGGTTTGGGCTCCACGGAGACCCTGCTGATATCGACATGGGCGTCAGGAAGCACCAAGAGACGGTCAACCTCATTCCGGATGGTCACCCTGACAAATGTGCCTACTTGAGCAACCTTGGTAACTCTCTTCAGATCCGCTTTCTCCACCTCGGTAATAGCCAGGATGCTGAGGCAGCCATATCCTATTTGTCTACTGCCGCCACTTCTCCATTTGGAACTCCCGTCACCCGCTTCAACGCTGCAAAATTATGGATCACCAGTGCATCCCTCATCAACCACGAATCCCGATTATCCGCTTATGAATGTGCAATTGGCCTCTTGCCCCTTGTGGCTTGGCTAGGTCTTCCTATAGCAGACCGCCATCAGCATCTCGTCCAGATGGGTGAGATTGTTCGAAATGCAGCCGCAGCAGCCATTTCACTAGAACAATACGACAGGGCTCTGGAGTGGCTGGAGCAGGGTCGGTCAATTGTATGGACCCAAATCCTCCAACTTCGGACTCCAGTCGATCGACTGCGCGACGTCGACTCTGACCTTGCTGATCGGCTTCTTCAAGTCTCTCGATCATTGGAACGCGGAACTCAGCAAAGTAAATCACCCAAAGGAGATATCAGATCTATAGAAGAAGAAAGGAGGCAATATCGAGCTTTGACTGCAGAATGGGAAGCGATGATTAAAAGAATACGATCGCTTCGCGGCTTTGAAGACTTTCTGGGACCTCTACGTCTATCCCGGCTGCTCGATACCGCACACGATGGCCCTGTTGTCGTCGTAAATATAGCGGAGGAGAGATGTGATGCCCTCGCTATCATTCCAGGATTTGAGGAAGTCCTCCCCATTCCATTACCGAGCATCACACTAGAGAAAACAACACAGTTTAGAGACGACTTGAAGGACATACTGTACTCAAGCGGTATTCGACTACGGGCCGAACGAGCTGCAAAGCGGCAAGAAGAGATAGGCGATGAGGAATGCTGTAGAGATATCCTTGCCGAGCTCTGGACTGGATTAGTCAAACCTGTGTTGGATTCCTTGGCGTTCTCGGTACGTTCATCTCACTAAAGAATGTTTCCACATATCCATGCTTCCATTCTAGCCCCACCCGGTGCCGCTTCCCCGTATCTGGTGGTGTACCACTGGACCTCTTACCTTCCTCCCCATACATGCAGCTGGTATATACAACACCAACGGTACCGACTCTCGGCTCAGCGAATACGCCATATCCTCCTACATACCTACATTATCAGCTCTACTTGAGCCACCCAACTCTGCTCTGAATCAACCCTTCAAATTACTCTCGGTAATACAACCATCGGCTCCTGGTGCATCGTCTATTCCTAACACCAAGCAAGAATTGGAGAATATTCAACGCCGTCTTGGAAGTCGAGAACATGCCATCCTCGAAGGTTCACAAGGTACAAAGAGTCGGGTGATCAAGGCGATAAGAGATTGTAATTGGCTTCATCTTGCATGTCATGGAGTACAGAGACTAGATGAACCAACGAAGAGTGCACTGATCCTCGAAGATGGACACCTCACCCTCGAGGAGATCATCAAACTCGACCTTCCGAAAGCAGAGTTTGCATTTCTATCTGCTTGTCAGACGACAACTGGAGACGAAAAGCTTTCAGAAGAAGCCGTGCATATCGCGGGTGGAATGTTGTTGGCGGGATATCGTGGGGTAGTCGCGACAATGTGGTCTATTCAGGATGAAATTGCTCCAGAAGTAGCAGATGAATTCTATGGTCATATCGTCAAAGATGGAAAACGTCCGGATAGTAGGAAGGCAGCGGAGGCGTTGCACGTTTCGGTGGAAAGGCTTCGTCAGAAGAACGTTCCTCTTTTATCATGGATTCCCTTTGTCCATCTTGGTGTCTAGTGTAGATGTATCTTCGCCTAGCTCCGTTATGGCCCAGCTAACTTCCTGTTGTTCATCACATTTTATGTGTCAATAGTGCACTGACCACTTCATATTTACATTCAGTACATATAAGAGCCCATTTATAGCATTATATGAATATATGTCAGATGGAGAGTCATCTTGGAACTGCACATGGTCCCATCACTTGATGGAGGAGGTTCCTCCGCCGAGCCAATTATCGTCGTCTTTGCAGTGCATCTGGCCTCTTTGACCGCGACACTCACTGCCATCGCCATCGACGTCTAATCTCGATCGGCGGTGCTTGCCAACTAGCCAAGGTAATATCCACACTCCACATGACATGCTACGTTTCTATACCACACTGAGTGAAGAGCAATAGTGAATAATTTCCAGATAAGTACAAATCTGATAGGGAGGGCTGGTTAGTGGGGACAAAGAAGGCCAACCTTGCAAGCGCAATCCGTGGTAGTGGTTATGCCATGCTCGCTTTGGTCCTATAAAGGCCTGTTTATTGCGTACAATGTTTTTGATGCACATATATTCCCCCTTCTCAGCGATATAGACACTTTCTGGTCATTATCTGGTGCCCGTATACTCAATTGCCGTCAATATGACGTGAGCTCTGCTCCTTTCTACGAACTGCAGGTGCTAATCCTAATATCAGCGCCTTGGTGCTGACAGGTGATTTAGCATTAGCTCGTGTTGAGGGTGGCGCTTATATGCGTTGAATTACTCCCTTCAGATGTATCTGTTCGATTGGCTAATCAAGAGAACCACTGCATCAAAAATTCTGCTCGCCTCATCTTGACGGCTAGTTTAAATGCCAAGGTCGTCGATGAGATCCATCTTTTGCATCGTAATCCGGGATTATGGACAGCGGATCGACCACTCCACTTGTAAGTGAATCAATTATAGAAGGAGAGCGTTGGGAACATTGACATTTGCACATCTAGACGAGAAGAAACTGGGGAATTTACAATATCTGTCCTTGCCGAAACAGATGAGAAAGATCATCAATTCCTCAGCTCCCT